CCCAGGCTGGAGGGCAGTGGCGCAATTTCGGCTCACTTCAATTCGGGCGATTCTCCTGCCTCAGCCTCCAGAGTAGCTGGGATTACAGGCGCCTACCCTGACACCCGGTTAAATTTTTTTTGTATTTTTAGTAGAGACATAGTGTCACCATGTTGGCCAGGCTGATCTCTAACTCCTGACCTCAGGTGATCCACCTGCCTTGGCCTCCCAAAATATTGGGATTACAGGTGTGAGCCATTGCAGCTGGCCTAATGAAAGCATTATTGAAGTGTTTTAACCCTGCAGACAATTGAGCATTGTTTTATTAAGGACAGAGGGAGCTACAGAATGAGTCAACTCCAGGGATTGAAGAGACTGGCTAGGAGGTAGGAATAAGGTAGGGAGGGAGTTGGAAAAAGGATTTGGCCACTGACTGTGTTAGTGCTTGTAGTTTTCTTCCACCCCAAATAGCAGTTCAAATTCACTTCACTACTGGCAGTAAAGGAGGAAGCGTCTCTTTGAGATGATAAGGAATGAGGAGGTGGGACAAGTTCAGAAGCAGCTGAAACATCTTAATGGTAGTTTGTGGGTTTTGCTTGTTAGAAGGAGTGGGGAAACTCTGTGCTGTGGTCAGAAAAATTATTAGTTTTGTATCTGAAGACTAATATTTATTTAAAGCTTTGATACATTAATTTTTTCCAGAGAGTAGAGTAAAACACCACCATTCTGGACACCACTCATTTGGAATGGAGACAATGATACAGGAATTGAGATAGAATTTATTTGGCAACCTTTACCTCAGGAAATATTATTAGATTTTGTTGGGAAAGGCTTTAGGTTTTGCAAAGTAGTAGTTAGATTGTGAAATATAGCCTCAAGGAACTCACAGTTTGGTGACACAGGTAATATAAGTGCCCAAAGAATTTTAATTCAAGGTAGAGTACTGTCAGTAGACAAGACCTTTAACTGTTAAGCTTCATAACCACTTTTTTGGCTTGACTCTCTCTATCTACTGAAGACCCTACAGCTCATTATACCTTTCTCTCTCTGTTTCTCAAGCTACTACTGACTTTAATTTTATTTCAGCCATGGTGAGACACTGGCTTCCCAGTTTACTACTTTGGTGTTAAGCAACAGGAGCTCAGTTGTCCCCCCTACCCTTTATTGCTTATCTTTAGACAAAGGTAAATAGTATGGGACATTTATAGAGGTTTAAGAAATCGTACAGTTTCTATTACAGTCTAATTCCTGGTTATAGTTTTTGATTTCCTTTAAACTTCCTTCTTAGTCTGCAGGTCCTTTTTCATTCATATTGCTATTAGTAAGCATGAAGGCTGTAATATTCCTAACATTATCTCACGTGCAATTCACGTAAAATAATAGGTATGAATTAGCAGATATTGATAAAAGCTATTGCTTAAGAATCACCAGAGGAACTGATAGGTCTAAGGTGAGGTCTAAGAATCTGCATTTTCACAAGCATGCCCTGCTGATTCTAAAATAGTGGTCCAGGGCCACACTTTGAGTAACACTTAGCTAGGTATTTGGAAGTTATCAGTAAATTATTGACAGTTGAGTTTGTGGGAATGGATAACATCTTTTTTTTGAGACAGGGTCTCACTTTATCACCCAGGCTAGAGTGCAGTGGCACAAACATAACTCACTGTAGCCTCAGCCTCTTGGGCTCAGGTGATCCTCCCACCTCACCCTCCTGAGTAGCTGAGAATATAGGTATGTGCCTCCATGCCCTGCTAATTTTTTGCATTATTTTTAGAGACAGGGTTTTATTTTATTTATTTATTTTAAGACAGAGTCTCACTCCATCACCCAGGCTGGAGTACAGTGGCACTATCTTAGCTCACTGCAATCTCCACCTCCTGGGTTGAAGCAATTCTCATGCCTCAGCTTCCCAGGTAGCTGGAGTTACAGATGTGTGCCAACATGCCCAGCTAACTTTTGTATTTTTAGTAGAGACAGGATTTTGCCATGTGGACAGACTGGTCTCAAATCCCTGACCTCAAGTGATCCATCTGCCTTGGCCTCCCAAAGTGGTGGGATTACAGGTGTGAGCCACTATGCCCAGCCTAGATAAAATCTTTGAGGAGGAAAATGTGTGCATATGAAGACACACACACACACACAGAGGAAAAGAGAGTGTGAGAGAGAGACGATGAGAGAACAGGAATGATTGAAACGGGTAGAAAATGGAAGAACTAGAATGTGGAAACAGAACAGGCAAGCTGGTAGGAGGTGAGAACAGTGCAATGGCAGGGGTAATGTTTTGAGAAGGTGGTGGTTTATTGGATCCATGATGTTGAGGACTGAGAAAAATTGGGAATCAAGAGTGTTGTTGGGTAATTTGCCAGAACTTCTTTCTGCCTTCTGTCTTCCTCAACTAGATTTTCTTAAGTCAATTTCAGAAGATGCCTCTTGGTATGATACTCAGCTCCTATCTATTGCCTGTTTACAACAGGCATGCACCACTATGCCCAGCTTTTTTTTTTTTTTTTTTTAAAGACAAGGTCTCTCTCCGTCTTGCAGGCTGGAGTGCAGTGGCGCGATCTTGGCTTACTGCAACCTCCACCTCCCAGGTTCAAGTGATTCTCTTGCGTCAGCCTTCCAAGTAGCTGGGATTACAGATGCCTACCACCACACCCCACTAATTTTTATATTTTAAATAAAGACAGGGATTTTACCATGTCTTTATTTATTACAGACCAGCCTACCATGGCCAGGCTGGTCTCAAACTCCTGACCTCAGGCTATCTGCCCACTGCTGTCTCCCAAAATGCTGGGATTATGGGCATGAGCCACCGCGTTCAGCCAATTTTTTGTATTTTTAGTAGAGGCAAGGTTTCACCATATTGGCCAGACTTATCTCAAACTCCTGACCTCAGGTGATCCACCTACCTCGGCCTCCCTAAGTGCTGGGATTACGGGTGTCAGCCACTGTGCCTGGCCTTAGTTATGTCATATACTGAGAGTAAAGACCAGATTTTAGGAGAGGAAAGGAGAAAAGCAGATCAAGAGTTTTGTTATCCCTGTCTCAGTAGATGACACCTCCATAATAGCTCTTGAACACAGATAATTCTGTCTTTGCCTCTGCAGTCCAAGTTGCTGTCTGTTTTCTTGGCTACTGCAGTGACTTCTTAACTGGTCTCTTTGCTTCCACTGTTGTCTTCTTCCTGTCCATTCTGCACAGAACAACCAGAGTAATCTTTTAAAAGATTAAATCAGATCACATCAGTCTCTTAACTAAATCCTCAGTGGCTTTCTGTTATACTTCGAATGAAGTCTAAACTTAATACAAGCCTTTAAGACTTTGCCTGGTCCAGCCCCTACATCTCCATCTAATTTCCTATTACAGTGTCCTCACTCATCCTGGCCTGTTAGTACAAGCCCAAGCTGTAGTTTGCTTTAGGATCTATGCTATTGCTTGCTGTTTGGTTTTCCTAGAGTGTTTTTCCTCTGCCTTTTCTTAATACATACCCTCTCTAAGAGATGGGTTCCCCTTACTCTGTCAAAGCGACCTGCTTATTTCTCTCATTGCATTTATTACAATCTTTAATTACTGTGTTGTTTTTATTTACTGAAATGTGTTTTTCCCTCCAGAGGGAGAGGTAAGTTACATGAAGGGAAGGCTCCTGTGTGACTTGTTCATTTTTGTATCGGTTTTTTTTTTTTTTTTTTTTTTTCCTAAATTGGTCCGGTATGTGTATGCCTTGGTGACTCTGTTCCTTTCTTTTTTTTTTTTTTTTTGAGATGGAGTCTTGCTGTATCATCAGGCTAGAGTGCAGTAGCGTGGTCTTGGCTCACTGCAAACTCTGCCTCCTGGGTTCAAGTGATCCTCCTGTCTCACTCCCGAGTAGTTGGGACTAGAGATGTGTGCCACCATGCTCAGGTAATTTTTTGTATTTTTAGTAGAGATGGGGTTTCACCATGTTAGCCAGGATGGTCTTGATCTCTTGACCTTGTGATCTGCCCAACTCCACCTCCAAAAGTGCTGAGATTACAGGCATGAGCCACCACATCTGTCTGCATTGATGTATCTTGATATGTGATTGATACAGAACACACTTACATATTTT